TTGGTGTCTAAGCTTTGGGTCGAAAGTTATTTAACCTATTACTTAGTTCATTGTTTTAAAAATGATTGTATTATGTTTGATATTTGTGTGTACTAATTGTAGTTATGTAATTTACTTAAATCTATCTTGGGTCATTTCATACGTATAACATCAAAGCCGGAAAGGTTTCGCTATTCTCATTTAATAACTRGCTCAAATATCCACTTTCAGTCGTCCAATGTAAATTAAATAACAAACAAATTATTCCCAATAGACAATAATATTGGCATATATGTACCTATGTTTCTTATAAGGATTACAGAATTTTTAAACTTGAAACTTCTTCAATATTTATTACAGATGACAGATAAAGTGTAAAACTATACAGGTAYTCGATGTACCCTCGATATGCATGTAGGTAGACTGGTTCATATTGTTATGTATAGTGAGCACACATCATAGGGCAGTCAGATAGTAAACTCTGTTTTCTTAATTTATCACAAATTAATAATAACAATTTTCAATGAGATGATTATCATAAAATATTTGTTGTGGGAGTTTACAATTATTGTGCTCAATAAAACAAAACATATTATTCAATGAATATTAATAATATTTGTACATAATAAATGTATACCTAATAATGCACAATATACATATTATATAATGGAAATTCAATAAATGTCTATCATAATATTATTATTATTCTACATTACATCTAGTATATACTTTTATAAAACGTGTATTAATAAAAAGATTTTATTTCAGTCAATAAAAAAAAAAAAACATAATTACATAATGCACGTCGATAATAATTAATAATATACATAAAAATATAATTAAAATAATGAAATAAATTACTATTACAATATTATTCTACATTACACCTAGTATATACTATTATAAAAATGTGTATTAATCAAATAATGTCCTACAATTTAAGCAGCGCATTCGGTATACTTTTCTAAAATATAAACAGCGTAATTGGTATACTGACCTATAATACAAATTTTGTTTTAGACGCAACTGGTTCATCAATTGACCAATAATTGATCAGTTTTATTATACACACCGAATAATGAAACTATTATGAATGTTATGAGAATAATGAAACTTTCCAGCCGTGACCAACTGTTGCTCATATGACCGTATTGAATGGCGGACATTCCCCTCCAATTGTTTTCGGCGTAGTAGGACATTTCCTCCCCGATACATTTTTCATGTGGACATTTCCCCCATMCATTTTTTTGTTTTTTATTTTTAATTATTTACCTTCGAATATAAAACACATATTTTTTATTTCAATTTTTACACGTCATATTTTTTAGATTAAATATAATTTTAAATTGATTCATATTATTGGCATTATAATAATTATTTAATATTTTTACTATTATTTAAGTAGGTTAGAATAGTCAAATTGACTTAAATATAATTTTTGTTCTATATAGTCGTGTCGCTCTCGTGTGAATTAACAGCACAGTAATCTAATCCGAACTTGGATTATTATAAGTTTCATGATGTTAATGTCGAATTTGGCCGACGTAGTTAAATATTTATTTGAGGAATAATTTGTACGAAACATACAGAGTGTCACATAGAAACATGTGATTATTATTTTCGTTATAATTTCCATATGGTTTTCATGACGCATAAAATTATGATTGGGAGGCAGAACGATTTCAAATGTATCGTTCCTTAAATACCCGATGTAGTCATGCTACAAAATAACCAATAGAATCAGTTGAAAATAAATTAACTTTATTTGGCTTGATTAAATTATTAAAAACACCAAGCCAAATGTACATTCGGTCATTTTGATGTATCTTCAGGCTGTAAGAACATAAATTTAATGACTTTGAAAAAATCAATCTATTTTATGAAATTAAAGTTATTGATTTAGTATTATTCCACGGATGGCATAAACGAATAAAAATTTAATGGAGTTGACAAAAATTCAAACACTTATTGTCTAAAAATATTATACTCAAGGTATGGATATTTTTCATGAAATA